CTGGGCAAAGCAAAGGCTAAGCTAAATAAAGAACTTGATTTATAGTCCTTAACAGAATGATAGCAGTTGCTCATTTTAAAATTATTATTGTTTTTTTTAAATTTCTTTTGTGCTATCTTTTTAATAATAATTTTGCATTCATAAGAAGTACCTCCCACGCATTCGTGTGCATTGTGACCTAGTTAATTAATAGTGAAGCTATGCCCCTTATCCAGTCTTAAATAAAAGAAGCAAAAATGTTAGGCTCAAAAAAGAGTAAAACTTTACAAAACTGCTAATAATGACAAAACGAGTTCTCTTCTCTTTATAATTCTTCTTTAGTTGGTTCATCGTCTAAGACAACATCAGACAAATCAATATCATCATCATCAACAGGCAACTGAAAATTAAAAGGAAAATTAAAATGATATTAAAATAATAGTAATTATAGTGATAATAATAATAATAATAATAATAAGCAAAAAGGGCAATGAAGTGCTAGTATAAGATACAAGATTGTTGGTAAAAGTTTTTTGATTTTTCAAAAATTAAATACTGCAGATTTATTCTGATGATTTTGCAGTCATGTTTTATTTAATAGGCAAGCTAAAATATTGGTAATTTTCTCAAAGGCAATATTATGTCATTTCACCTTGTACTATATAAAGGAAACAAAATTAATTACAGACAAACATTTTAACGTACAACTCCATCTTTTCCATCCCATGGCTCAGAATCTTCAATAGCCGGAAGCTTACCACCTCTTATCGATACAATGGGACTCTTCATTGCTATCAGCTCTCTGAAATTAATTAATTAAAACAAGCCACACCCATCTAATTAATAATACCTAACAAATGATCTAATGCCATCGTATGAGTACGGGCCACGGAGTGCAGAGTAAGCACCTTTACGACCGTTAACAGCGACAAGAGCTGGGTAACCAAACCCACCAACTTCAAGTGCCTCCTCTAATTTAGAGTTAGCTCCACCCTCCAGCCACACCCACCCAAACGACCTCTGCTTGTACTGTTCACCTGAAAATGATACATTAATTCAATAATTATACATGCATATATAGTACAACATGATTTATTGGCGAGGAATTAATATTGGCAATTGGCGGTTTTATAAAGAAATCACCAATATAAAACCGCCATTTTGTTTCAATCTGAGCATGCTCAATAGCACGTGGCACAAAATCACCGATATAAAATCTACCAATTTCTTTCCACAGGCAAATTTACTAAATATCACTCCCATCAATAAATCACCTTGTACGGTACTTCATAATAATAATAACAGTTGCTATATAATTTTATACACAATTACACATACCGACAGATCTTGCTATTTCAAGGTATCTGTTCCTTCCTGATGCCATGCTGTCTAGTATGTTGGGTAGGAATGATATGAAGCAGAGCTGCTTCTCAGCACAAGAGTCCATGACAGTCTGTGACGTTAGTTGATACACTTCAGGAGGAGGCTGCTCCTTCTCCCATTTCTCCATCGCCCAAGCAACAATAGAATCAGCAGTGCGACCACCTTTTTTAAAAAAAGAGAGGATTCATAATATAGTCTTAAGAGGAAAGGACACAAAAAGTGTACAAGAGAAGAGAATGTGACAAGAGTACATACGAACCTGTATAGTCCTCTGCTCCATCCCAATCCTTCTTCCCTGAATTAAAAAACTTTATAGTTGGGAAGCCCTGAATACCAAAACGGCTAGCAAGGACTCTATGCTCAGTGGCATCGACAGCTGCAACATGGACCTTTCCTTTGAGCTGTGTGGCGGCTTTGGCCCATTCAGGAGCAAGGTTCTTGCAATGGCCACACCAAGGGGCAAAGAACTCAACGAGCCACATCTCATCGCTGCCAAGAACCTTATCCTCAAAATTAGAATCGGTGAGTTGTATAACGTCTTTATCATCAGGAGTACCACCACCACTGCTTCCTCCTCCCCTTCCTCCTCCTCCTCTCCCTCCTCCTCCTCCTCCACTTTTCCCTCCCAATCTCTCGTTCATCACTTCCCTTGCAAATGAAAGGGCTTGTGACATCATGGCTTCTGCTTTGCGCTCACCTAGCAGGTCAGAGAAAATCAAAATAAAATAATTTTAAAATAGTGTACCATATAGCGCAAAATTTTCAAGGGCTATAAATTTTCCTAAAACTCTATTTCAAGGATTTAATTTTTGTGAATTTATACCATCTGCCATAATTTGATTTTTACAGAAGCAATTTTCACAAATCTTCAAAAAAATCGTGAAATCTCCGAAATTTACAGCCCTTGCAAATTTTGTTGGCTATATGGTAGTTTAGCATTATTTAGCTTCTTTTCCCTATCTTTCCCTTCTACGTTGTATATAACAGTATTAATTTACGCTAGGATCAATTTTAAATAATAACAACAAAATAATAATAATTTCAGTTACTTTGATAGTCTCTTGGTTTGTTCTTGTTCCCTCCAAACATTTTGATGGTTGGGAATCCTTGGACTCCAAACCTCCCTCCGAGTGACTGATGTTCGCTGGCATCAACGGCACCGACTTTAATGATACCTTTCAAGGCACGAGCTAACTTCTTGTACTCTGGTACCAAGGCCTGACAGTGACCACACCTACAAAATGAATGATCAAATCCTTAGAGTAGCTCTGGCTTAAATTCCTATCTTTAATTTGGACACAAGCTTCATCACAGGCTTCTATATGAGGGGTCTCCTTTACTATATACTTTGAGACTGGTTTTTATTTGAGGACGTTATTTGAGGATACATGTAAGTATAAAATCAATTGATAGATAAATACCCTATACATGGAAATTTTTAAGGGGATAAATTTCCATGAATTTTGTGAAATGAGGGGTCATTTGTGAAATTAAAACACACAAAAAATTAATTTAAACTCTCAAAATTATTACAAAATGGTGGCACTTTAAAACAATTCGTGAAAAATTGGCCTCGCAAAATCCTGAAAATTCATCATTCGTGAAAATATATCCCCTCAAAAATTTCCACATATAGGTTAGTTAGAAGTAGCTGTTATAGTGCAAATGATTCACACATTTAACAGGTAACCTAATTTTAATTTAGCCGTCAACTTTATTTCCTAACGTACCATGGAGCATAAAACTCGACGACCCATATTTCTGGCCCATTCATCACTTGAGAGTCAAAGTTCTTTGGAGTTAGTTCAATGACATCATCAGAAGAGTCATACACTCCATGAACCAATGACACAGTCAATAATAATAATAATGATGATAATGCTGGGGGGGAAATTAAAATGTGAGGTCACAAAATTTCTATTTACTTTTCATCATCTTTAAACTTTCTCCTGTGTTTCTCTAGGTCTTTTCTCTTTATGAATACACAAAGAATGTCAGAGATGATGTGGCGGGAGCTGAAGGTTAAGGCGGGATCACTTACACGTGAAGCTAGCCGATTGGTCGACGTCAGCTGTCTACTAAAGCTAGCCACGCCCGTATTTTATTTTAACTCTTTGTTCACGTCCACGTGCTGTCACAATGGTAGTTTTGGGGAAAATCTTATCAAAGTCTTTCATAACAACTCCAATATTTTATGTTAACGCAAGTGAGTTTTTAAGTTGGTGTTAGACCTTCAACACAACTCTCACTTTGTCTTATCACTTGTATTTTGGCTTGTGTATTTAGTGTTGTAAACTAAAGTAATATATAATAATATCAGGACTTGCTTATCACATTTTGCCTATTTTATTGCTTTTGTTTGTTAAAAAACAATAAAATAAGAACTGAGCACATTAAAGTTAATGGAAATGTATTATGCATCACATTAATTGATGAAATTTGGCCTGTGACCAAGTACTATAGTACTGGGTCTTTAGCCTAATTTTTTTAGAAAATTTAAAAATTTATAAAAAATTTAAATGTGATTGGAATCAGCTCAAACTTGCTACACAACATAAGAACATGTATATGTATCAGGAAAAAATATAAAAATGGAGAATTCTCTCCTTTTGATTTTTTGGCGAAATTTGGCCCGAGACCATGTACTATAGTACAGGGACTTTAACCAGATTTTAGAGCAACTTCAAGAATTCATAAAAATTTCAAATTTGATTGGAATCAAATCAAACTTTCTATGCAACATAAAATCATGTATATGTATCAGGAAAAAATATTAAAATGGAGAATTCTCTCCTTTTCATTTTTGCCTCATTTGCCATTATCCCATGTACACGTATGAGACTATGATTTATTTGTTCAGACGTCCATCTTTATGATCACAGATCCACACATTGGTCATCTTTACACTGCTTTCCTTGCTGATGCTGCTCATCGTTGGCAAAAACTGACAATGGGCACGTCCACCGATAAAGCAATACTATCAACTGGCACTGATGAACATGGACTCAAGGTGCAAAGAGCAGCAACAGAGAGTGGAATGCCAACCCAGTCTCTATGTGATTTAGTATCTCAGAGATTCAGGGTAAGAACTATTCCTTTAATATATTAATCTATTAATTTGTTTCAAGGCTTTGTTTGATGCTGGTAACATTGATTATACGCATTTCATCCGAACTACCGACGAGACTCATGAAAGACTGGTACAGAGTATTTGGGTAAAGCATAATTTTAAAACTGCTATATAAAAAAAGTTTATTTTATCTTTCATCCATAGCTTCAGTTACATGATAAAGGTTACTTATGCAAGTCCACATATGAGGGCTGGTATTCAGTTCCTGATGAAACCTTCCTCTTGGACTCGCAATTAACTGATGGAGATGAGCCAGGCTCAAAAGTCAGCCATTTTATATCCGCGCACGCACCCAACCACACTAATTAATTATTTGTTAGGTTTCCAAGGAAACGGGTCATAAATGTGAATGGTCGTTGGAGGAGAATTACATGTTTAAGTTGTCTTTGTTTAGAGAGAGGTTGCTTAAGTGGATCACAAAAAAGCCTTATCGTTAGTCCGGTATTCTTCTTAATTTTAAATTTGACCTCTCTCTCTCTTTCATTTATAGCCATTATTCCTGATTATGCTCGACACTTTGTTATTGGATATCTCACTGAAGAAGGCGGACTGAATGACCTCTCAGTTTCAAGACCTCTGTCTCGTTTGCAGTGGGGAATAAGAGTACCCAATGATGAGGAACATACTGTAAGAGAACCAATCCATTATATATGTAGGTATACATACAGGTACATGTACCTTCATAATTTTATGGGAATTGATCATACATGTAAACAGATTTTTTTGGTTTTTGACATTGGACTGCAATACTGCATGTATAATCCTGTTCTTGATTAATACATACTAGTAGCTAAGAAATTGTTATCAAAACCTCTTTTCCCTCCGTCTCCCTCTTCCTCCCTCTTCCTCTCTTTTCCCCAGGTGTATGTATGGTTGGATGCACTAGTCAACTACCTCACAGTTTCGGGCTACCCTAACCCTGGTCACTTGTGGCCTGCAACTGATCACGTTATTGGAAAGGATATAATGAAGTTTCATTGCATCTATTGGCCGTCTTTTTTAATGGCACTGGATGTAGAGCTACCCTCTAGAATAGTAGTACACTCTCACTGGACTATGGATAAGAGCAAAGTATGGGAATTTATGTTTATCCTTTTTTTCTATAGAACAACTTTAATAATTTGTAAAAAAAATCTAATTTTAATCGGAATCAGCTCAAAGTTTTTACACAACATAAGAACATGTATAATGATTTTGAAAATGAAAAATTTGCTTCTAGTGATTTTGTTGAAATATCCTGAACAGGGCTTTTGCGCAATTTTTGAGCAACTTGATAACCCACTAACAAAAAGCTGCATGAACATTATCCAAAAATCTTGTTTTACATGGTATGTTACTTCTCTCTTTTTTTTCTCTTTTCAGATGTCAAAGAGTAAAGGTAATGTCGTTGATCCGTTTGACAGATTAGAGACACATGGAGCAGATAAGCTACGATATTTCTTATTAAAAGAGGGTTCACTACATCACGATGGAGGCAAGCATTGATAATAATAATTATTATTACTATAGCTATTAAAAAATTAACACAACAGCAAAAAATAAGCAGCTTTATATACAATCTATGATAAAACAAAAAAGGAGAGCTTATAAAGAAAACAAATAGAAAACATTATTATTATTATTATTATTATTATTATTATTATTATTATTACATTTTAAAATTAGATTATCATGATAGTCGTCTTGCTCAGCTAGCAAATGCTGACTTGGCAGATACATTCGGCAACCTCCTCTCTCGTGCCACAGCCACTAAGCTCCACCCACCTGAAATCAAGTTATGTATTGATCCTAACCACCTCATGAAAGATGGCAAGGAGCTATTGGAGTCTTTACAGAGACTAAGCACAACTGTCAATAATTGTTATAGTTCCTACGAGTTTGGTCGGGGGATTAGCTCAATTATGGAGTGTCTCCATATGGCAAGTTGAAACTAAATATTAACTTTAATATTTTTCTTTTTTTTCTTTTCTCAGGCCAACAGATTTTTTGGTAGACACAAGCCGTGGACTCTAGTACCTAATCCCGACTCTCATGCTCATTTGGGTACAGTCCTTGCAGTATCAATGGAGACTCTTAGACTTTGTAGCATCCTTCTCAGTCCTATAATTCCAGACTCGAGTTCTAAGATCCTTCAAAGATTGGGAATGAGTTCAGAGAGTATCGGGCCCGAGGATTTAAAATTTTGCATGGACAGAGACTTTACGGGAGCCCCTATTGTTGTAGGGGGGTCTCCGATGTTTTCGAAAAAGGTGTATGATAAATAAAATATGTTTTTGTGATTAGAAAATGAATAATAGCCAGAACCTGTTTTATAAGTAGAAAGAGGGAGAAAGAAAGAGAAAGAGAGAGGGGAGAAACAAAGAAAGAAAGAGAGAGAGCCATTAATGAATGAATGAGGAGATAATAATTGTGTTAAAAACATAGAAAAGGAGTCATTGGTGATGATAATAATCATTTTCTCATTATTTTCTCCATTTCTTGTATTTTTATGTCCTTCACTCTTATCAAGTGTTCTAATCTGTTCACTTTCATAGTTAATAACTAAGAGAAAGAAATTAATTATAATAATAGTAATAGTAATTAATGGTTTACCTGAATCGTTTCTTGTAGTTCCATTATGATTTGATCCTTTTCTGCTATTGCTAATCCCGAATTAAGTGCTGCATGTGAATCAACATTAATTCTTGATTCCCTTGACCTATTGAATGAATAAAATCATATTATTATCTGTACTTTTAAATAAGAATACGCTAAAAAGAACATTACAGAAGAACATTAGAATCCCTCATGTGATCATAACATCTGGCCACATACCCGCTGTAGTATTTCTTTTTTGAGGTGTCTTTAATCGCTGGTAGTTTTGAATGTTCACTCATTCTATGTATCTGCTGTCCTCCTCCTCCTCCTCCTCTTGCTGCTCCTTGAGGATACGATGCCATTGCCACTTGATTATTCACTGGAGGCAAGTGACTCTTTCTTTGGTCTCCGGATTGAATCGGGCGCGGTATTTGAGAGGGTTTCCCGTGACTGTTAACTATCGGTGGTAGGTGTGTGGTGATGGTGGAGTGGGTAGGTGAAGTGATTGAGTGTTGATGGCTGAGAGCCTGATAACGAGAGAGTATTGTCAGTTCTAATTGACGCCCACCCACCTGCTGAATTCCACTGGAAAGTACGTCTTCATAGTTTCTAGGAAAAACTGATATTTGTGACGCTGCCTCTTTTGCTTTTACCTGCTCTATCTGTACAAGGAAAATAATAATTTTTGCAACTTTTTTCTTATTGATAATGCATTTTTAGCTTGAAAAAATGCATTTTACATATGCAAAAAGCTTGAAAAATTGCAAATTACATATACACTGTAGTCTACATGTATAAAAGTACCTTTTTCTTGAAATGATTAAGGATATATTCTATTACCCCAGGTTTACTAGCAACCACCTCTTGCAGTACAGGGTCTGGTACATCAAACCCTAACTTCATGAATACTTTACCTGCAGGAATACAAAAGAATCACATTAATTTTAAATTTTTAGCCCACACAGCAGTATCAACATTCATTATCATGTCTTGAAAGGTCTCCCCCTCACTCTTACGATTAAGTGTCCTCCAGTTGGTGAGTTTCTGGGTCGTTGAATTGGCCGGGGGATAGTTGTGGAGCTCTACCATGTTTGGAAAGAAGTGCTGTGCAAGTTCGGCTGCCATCACTGTGTTTATGATTAATTTTTTAAAATTAGTATTTTAGAAATGAATTACAGCATTACCTCCATCACTGAAGTCCCTAGAGATGTTCTTTTTTTGTCTTGAGAGAGGCACCTCGTCTATCCATGCATATAGCTGCTGTTTGTCTTCTTGAGTGACCGGATCCCCCATTTTATTTATTCTAGGGATAGGATTTATTTTATTGTTGCCCTGTCGCCATAGTAACACTATATTAAGAGAGGGAGACCACACCCACACTTCTAGTGGAAGGCGTGGTCTAAATTAAACACGCCCACTTGACGTTTCACGTTGACGAACTTGACGTGTCTTCTTTTTGAAGAGAAGAGAGATAGGGAAAGGGCCAAGGGTCTCTTAAACAATAAACATGATTCGCTATGTATTATTGTTTCTGTTATGTTTTGTTCCAGGTGCCTACTTAGACGGTACGTTCATTCACGGGGCAAGGAACGTTATTATTCATGATTCGCCCCGTTCTTGTTCTTTAGGTTTTCAGCATGTTACTTGTAAGTCTGTAATAAAGCTACTCCACAAGAAGTCAAACGTTCGTCTTCATTCTCATGACGTTAAGTATGGCTCTGGATCTGGACAACAGGTGAGAAAAATTTGAATTTTTAGCAATCAATGATTAATATAAATTATTTTTTGTACAGAGCATCACTGGTGTAACCAATGCTGATGATGTCAACAGCTACTGGATTGTCCATGGTCCTCATGGCCAGATCTGTGAAAGAGGGTAACTTCCCCTTTCCTCTTTGCATTGATCCCTCTCTCTCCTCCTCCTTTAATAGTAATCCAGTTAAATGTGGTTCAGGGCTTCGTCTACAACACTTGAGTACCCAGAAATTTTTACATAGTCATCACTTTAATTCCCCCCTCTCTGGTAATCAAGAAGTTAGCGGTTTTGGTGACGGGAACGGTGGAGACACAGGTACATATACATGCTTACATTAGTTAGTACAGTCAATTATTATTAATTTCTCAATGGAACTATTATCAGTACAGAGTACATGTACATTCATTAGCCCATTATTACATCTTGTAGCCTTTGTAAGGAAGCAGGTGTTTATAACTGTGCATATGTACATACTTGTATATTTGCTTTGTCCTTTACAAGTTCATACTGAAAGTGAATCAATCCTGTTTTTAAAATTGTATATCTTCCTCTCTTTAGGTGATAATTGGATATTGGAATGCTCAGACGATTACTGGAGGCGTGATGGTTACGTGAGGTTTAAGCATCAAGACACTAATGTGTGAGTCCACTAAAGCTCTTCAGTTATTGTGTACTTACATGTACATGTACATCTATTCCTGTTTGTATACTTATAATATTTGACATCTAATCTCTAATCCTGTTTGTACATGACAGCTAATCCCCTTAGCATAAGTTTATGCATACACATTACACTATTTATTTCCTGGCTTGTATACTGTATATGGTACAGGTAGTACTACATTGTTGATGTATTGAGACTAGAGCTTTGTACTACTGTTATGGTTTATTAGTGAGTATTGATGTACGTACTACATACGCAGATTTTTGTAGTACTCAAGATATGTGCATGCGTGGTGTGTGGTGTATGCATTTTTATAATTTATGCCATTCTGGATCAATTAGTGCAGAATTTTTACAAATGAACGTATTTGTTTAGTTTATTATTAATATAAACTAAACAAACGCTACATGTATTTATAGACTAGGGTTAGTTTTTGTGTTACTATTAATAGATTATTAAGCTCATGCATTATGATGCTGTTTTTATAGATATTTGCATTCAACTGGTCACACTTATGGACGACCGATTGAAGGGCAGCACGAGATCTCAGGCCATAAATATGTGAGCGATAATAACCTTTGGAAAGCTATGGTGAGTAGAGAAAGGATTCTGATGCTAGTTATATTATTTTTATTATTATTGTAGGAGGGAGTTTACATGGAACCAGCTTCGAAATCGTAATAACTCTTCTCCAGTTCTAGTTAATATTCATAAATTTCATAACTAATTATTAATACTGTTATTATTATCATTATTATTATTATTATTTAAATTTCAGGCGATACTTGTGTTGTAACAAGCCCTGATTTTCTTTCTTTTTTCCCTCCTTTGTCTCTTCTCTCATCTGTTTCTTGAAAAGTCTAAAGGATTGTCATTAATATTATCATGTATCTCAACAAACAGCGGGACGTAGGTTAGATAATCTAAGAACTGCACAGTGCCACGTCCTTCGTAATTCAATCTGTCTGTTACCTATAGAAGCACACTTATTATCCTGGTATGGCTATTAAGTCATGTTTACAAATTCAACGTGTTCTTGTGTCAGACCTCCTGCTTGTAGCTCAACTGCTAGATCACGTGTTGTCACTATTCCTTCTTTGTCATTTGCTAGTAAGTAGAACAGTTCCTATTAAAAATGGAAGAGAATTACTTGTAAAAGCTAGTAACTAGCAAGCTTAGTTACTTTGCATTTTTTCATTTTCGTTTCCAGTGCCTCAAAGTCCATTGTATTAATTAATCGTTTCACCATGTCTCTAAGAAAAAAGAATAAAAAGGCATAAATTTTAAATAACTATGACGTACTCTAGAGCCACGACTTTCTCTGAGAGTGCAGCAATGAGTGAGAATAATTGAAAATTAAGAGCATATCTCCCAGCAAGCTCCAGTATCTAAAAAAATAATGCAAATCATTTGCTTTATATGTGAGAGTCACAGTGTCACATACGCTGTTGATGTAGTTCATCTCACTGTCAGATATCAAATTATAATTGACAGCTCTCAATGCAAAGTCTAGTTCTTGTACAGTGATATGTTCATCCTAATATTTGTGATAATGATTATTGTGACCATTATTTTAAACATTAGTACCTCATCCCTGTCAACATTGCTGAATACTTGTTGATAGTGTGGTACTTTTGTTTGACTGCAAACAGATAGAAATCAATGATTAAGCAAGATTACTAGCAAGATTAGCTTACTCAATGATGCAATATTTCGCTAAGTAATCCAATGGGTCAATCCCTGCAATTATTATTAATATAAATTATCAATACGCCTATTTTGATGCTCTTGTGTTACCTTTTAATTCTAATAGTGAAATTTCCTTCACTTTTACATTGTCACGTTTTGATTTGAACTTCAATCTGTCAATGATTATTGTTAATAAATAATCATGTGCAAGTTTTAAAATCTTACAAGTCTCCATGGCTTCGTCCAGAGTCTTCATCTTCATCATCTCTTTCTCTCACTTGACCCAAGTGCCTGCTACCAATATTACCTCGGGATCTCTAAAAATTTTAATTTAGCTTCATAATCATTTTTCTTCATAATTATATTTTTACCGGATCACTACCGTCTTTATTGCCCCGACCAGAAGCGCTGGACACTGATCTCTTCTTTCCTCTTCCTTTCTCATCATCTTCATCATCACTGTCACCTTCTTTCCTCCTACTCCTGCTGCTTGTTTTCTAAAGCACATTTTTGCCATAGCTCCTGTAATGTATTACTCTCTGTACTAACCTCTAAACTAATATCTTTTCCATCTTCATCAAAATCATCAAGTTTTCTTATTTTCTTATTTCCCCTGTCTCCTCCACTTTCTCCTCTTTCTCTTGCAGAGCCTGGCATGCGACTCCTTGCAGAAGATCGTGGCCGTGAACTACCAACACGATTTGCATGATCTCTTGTAGAATCATCATAGTCTCCATCCATTTCATTTGTTCTCTGCCGGCCAGAAGTAAGACGGTTTCTTTCCAAATTATTCGAGGAGCCTTGATTAAAGTCTTTATAGCTATCATTAGAAAGTCCTATACAATCATATGATGGTTTACATGAAAGTTTCCATGAATTTGCTGAAGCTATTACCTTTTTGATTCCCTAATGCATTAGATCTACAAAATGGATTTAATAATAGCTACATGTATATAATATTAGGAGTTAACTGACCTTCTCTTGTCTCTATCGTCAAATGAATATCCATTCTCATTTCCTGCTCCAGCATGTAGTTTGTGAGTATTGTCCCCAAGTCCAAAACCACTTCCTCTTCCTCCATCCCAGTCTTCAGCCCGTCTGTCATGCCATCGTCGCAAAAGATGTCCCGATCCTTCTCCATCATTGTCACCTCTCTCACCACCATCACCCTGAAAACTTGATTGACTAAGTTCAGAGTCATCCCCTCCCTTTCTTCTTCTCAAGAATGATTTGAGTGAGTTGGGATTACCATTTCCACCATTGTACTCCCAACCTGCAAAGAATAAATGTTTGTATATTTTTGGCTGCATATGATCAAGGACTTGCAAGCAACAGATTCATACCTTTTCTATATCCTTTATTTCTCATTAATTGACTATCAGATGACAATCCATCTAATATGATGTATCCACCACCAGTTCTAATTGCAATGCAATGGGAGCACCTATATATAGTATACAATTGGTTTCATATACAAATTGATTAATAAATTGGTTTACCTTGTTCCTCTAAGCCTGCATCTTTCACATGGCTCATAATCCATTCCATCTCTAATGTCAGAGGAAAAGTGACGATAATTAAGATGAGATTGACCAGTGAAACTAATATACTCTAGCATTTCAGACCCATTAGGATTAGTTCTATTAGAATAGTAAAGTAAATGATTAATATTTTTATTTTAATGTGTATTAATGCAGATCACTGCTCTCTGAACATACCTTCCCCATTTAGCTAGTTTCCTGCTTCCATTGCTTAAATTATTTTTAGCTTCTCTGTAGTTCAATGAGTCTTGATAAATACTTGGAGGTGGCCCAAAGATTGAATAATTCTCTTGCTGCCTTTGCAATAAATCTTTGCTCTCTATTTCACTGCTGTACAGATGACGCATGTCAACCTGAGCCAGCACATCTAAATATTCTTCATCCTCGATAACAACCTGTTTGAGAGGTTTGACAACATTTGAGGCTGGAAAGCGAAGCATTGACTGAGCAGGTTTTTCTCTACGAATAACACTAGCAGATATAACTGCTCGAGATCCTTCATTAGAGGTTGCAGGAGGAGGAGGAGGAGGAGAGGAAGAAAGTAGAGGTACACTAGGATTCTGTTGATTCTCATGCTCTTGGTTGTGCTGTTGTGGATTTCGCTGCTGCTGCTGCTGCTGCTGTTGATGATGTCTTAAAGATTGAGGAAGTGGTTTGCTGGGTCTGTGACCAGATGCAACTGGTTTTTGTGGTTTCTGCAACACTTGTAAAGGATAAAGGCGCTCAGAGGCAAGGAGACTCAGTCCTTTCCATTCCTCTCCCTTTCTTTTATGGGGTAACATTCCTAAAGGTCTGGCTGTACGTGAATTAGATGCCCTTAATTTCCATAAATGCGAGTCTTCTTGGGACAGTTTGAGTTGTGTTCCCCATACTAATCGATTCTCAGCTTTTTCTGGTTTCTTGTCTCTCGCAAATATTCTCTCTACCTTTATCAATGGGAGCTGAGTTTCTGCAGACATTCTGTGCGTTGCTGATGATCTGCAGAAGGCAAAGGGTGTGGCTCATTAATTAACTGGAATCACGTGTTGAATGGAGGTGTGTTCATACCAAAGTCATACCAAAATGGCTGATCAAGAAGAATCAAAGATAACAGTCCACGTCAAATCTACCAAGCAGAAGATAGATATTGATATACTCTCGTCCGAAAGCGTTGGAAAGGTATGTGTCTGACTTCGTTACGTGTTACAAACCTTTAAAAATCTTTGAAACTGCACATGCTTGTATGTGTACTTATCATCTTTTGTGTGATATATATATATAATAGTTAAAGGAAATGCTTAAAGAAAAGCTTGGCGACGAGAACAAAGGTGAACTGTGTTTGATATTTGCTGGAAAGATACTGAAGGATGAGGAAACTTTGGAATCACATGGTTTGTATTGAAATTAATTATATTCCAATTATATATTTCATTTTAGGACTCGTCAAGACTGGTTTAACAGTCCATTTAGTGATAAGACCAGGAAAGGTACATCCTGTAATTAATGACATCATGTATATCTTATCTACATGTACATGGTATTGTTCGTTCCCTTGTTTTTCATTGTGAATAGTAGTCTACATTGTGCTTTACATGTACATCTCTAATAGTCAGTTATTATTATACATGTACATGTACATGTACTTATTGAATTATAGTATCGTTTATTGGTTTTGTGACAGGCCCAAGGTTCTGCTGCTACTCCTGTTGGTCAGAATAGTGGAACGTCAACAAATGTAAAAAAACACAAAATGATTTTTTATTTTATACTACATTTATTTAATAGTCATCTACTGCCCCTAGTGAAGCTGGGACTGGTGGGGGGAGTGGCCTGCCTCAAGCCCCGCCCCTAAATCCATTTGCAATGTTTGGTGGAGGAGGAGCTGGCTTACGTGAGTTTTGAATTTAATTATTTTTATTTTTTTATTTATTTATAATTTGTTTATTTATTTATTTTAGCTGGTGACATGCAGGGTCAGATGCAACAGGTATTATTTTGTGTTTTGTTATTATTATTATTTTAATTTTTAAAAATTTATTTTGAATAGCTGATGGCTAATCCTGAGATGATGCGCCAGATCCTTGAGTCACCAATGATGCAGGTGAGGGAGGGTGGGAGAGGGTAGGGGATAAGAAGGAGCCTAATTTTTTAGTTATTTTTAGTAATTTTATGTGCCATCGTTTTGGGGAAGAGACAATTAAATTTTTGCTAATTATTATGATTTTTTTGTTTTTAGAGTTTTATGTCAAATCCTGATGCTTTACAAAGTGTGCTAACTAGTAATCCACAGATGCAGCAGCTAATGGAGGTAGGTTTATAAGTAGTTTAATGTACAGTGTAGCCTCTGTATTAAGGACACAATTGGGCCCACACTACCTCTCCTTAATACATGTACAGTGTAGCCTCTTTATTAAGGACACCATTAGGCCCACACTACCTGTCCTTAATACAAATGTGTCCTCATTTCAGAGGTACTTTTGTATAGGTTTGTAGACTTTGTACCAATTAGGACATTACAAAATGTCCTCATTATAAAGGTGTCCTCTTATTTTAAACTAACCCATGCATATTTACTTTCTACTATTGAGTGATAGTTCCAAATAGCATGGAAACCCAGTGCTTACAATTACACAATCATTGACACTTTTAGTGCAAAATTCTAAACGTAACAGCAATAACTGCAAATTAAGGCTGGGTTTACACATCAATGAAAACGATGTGATCCGTCTAGTTTTGTACCTGTTTTATGTTTCTGTTTACACAGAAACAAATGAAAACCTGATAGAATCTTGATATAACTCTATGGAAAAGAAAACGTGTTGAATATGTATATATATATTTTTTCCTAAAACGATCCTTTTTGCGTTGCTGTGTAAACTCAGCCTAAGGGTCACTTTAGAGCCACTATAATTAAAAACAGGTCGGTTTTCTTTATCTTCTGCATCCTCTTCACTCTCCTGCCTGGTTTCTCTTCATCACTAGACTGCACCTTTTTACTAAGATCTTCTTGTTGGTCATGGCTAATTTTTTAATATCTTCTAACTGCATCAGTGCTGCAGTGATCCAATAGCTCAAATCACAATACTGTAAAGTACATGCAATACTAGGTGCTGGGTGGTAAATTAATTACGTAATGGATGTTAATTAACTAACAGTTAGTTTAAATTGGTGAACTTCACAAAATAGCTGTTTCAGTACATATAGAAGTTACACTGTATTATGTACATTGTGTATAGTAGGAATTGGTATAGTATTTGGTATATTTTTTATGGATGAAAATTATCATAATTCATATACTGTATCTTTTATGTAGCGTAATCCTGAGCTCTCTCATATACTGAACAATCCTGACCTGATGAGACAGGCAATGGAGATGGCCTCAAATCCCAGTGCCATGAGGGAGCTGATGAGATCACAGGACAGGCAGTTATCTAATATTGAAGTGAATACCCACACAACATTAGCCTATTGTATTACATGCACTGTATATAAATGGGCATATTGTATTGCATGTAGTTAATTACAATTATTAGTTATTGTGTTTGTATTATGTATGGTATAATTTACATGTAACTCTATATTGTAATCATATTTAATTTTATGTTGTATTATGTGTACCATATTTAATCCTACATTGTAACCATATTTAATTCTCTATTCTATTGTACACGTATGTGCCATATTTAATTTTATGTTGTATTATATACTATATCCCAGTTGAGTTTGGGACAAGAAAAACTGGAATAACTTTTTATAGGAATGTGGGATAAGGATGAAACTTTCACAGGTTCTTAGTCGCCAAAGTCCATCAAAATCTGTAAAATCTTGGGTCTCTCAGCTCTTGGGAACCCTGAGAACCGGGTTCTCCCTATAAACCCAATGGCATACCAAAATGACGTTTTATGACAGTTTATCTACGTCATAGTTTACATAAGCACATGTAGTCGAGAGCGCAAACTGATAATTCTTGTTTTAAAAAGCTAACAGAGCAAGATCTTCTGATAATGATGGCCTTTATGAAGACTAGTTGACTCCAGTAGCTGTTGTACTGCTTATCAGCAACAGCAAGACTGTTTTAAGAGTGAAACAACACAGCCGCCATTCTTCTATGAATATCATTAAAATACGTCATTTTTGTGACGTAGCTACATTTTTCAAATTCCACGCAGCTGCTTCCACTTCCGTCCCAAACTGAACTGGGATATAGTATACATGTATGTATTATATTTAATTTTATATTTAATATTATATGTACTATATTTAATTGTGTGTTACTGTAGAGTCTCCCTGGTGGCTTCAATGCATTGGCTAGGATGTACTCTGAGATACAGGAGCCTATGATGGATGCTGCTCAAGAGACAGTAAGCTATTAGTTCACTATCTCTATGTTGGATTAGGATATCATATTAATGTTATATGCACGTACCTTTGTATTTGTAGCTCATTTATGTCTCTTTTGTATTGTGATTATTTTATTTTTAGCTTCAACAGCAAATACAGAACAATCCTTTTGCAGCTTTGTTCCAAGGACAGCAAAGTAAGACTTGAGTTGTCTTGACAATGACATCTAAATATGATACCAATTTTTGTTGTGTTTTCTGATACATGTTGATGTCTTTATGCTACTTGTTTGTGGAAAGTTTAAGCCGATTCTGACTTCAATTTTTCAAGTTATGGGCATTTTTTAAAAAGTAGCAACTTTTGGAAAAAAACCATAGACTATAGCCCATGGTTTTTTTTCCAAAAAATGGCTCCAAAATCACCCCAAGTTATAATTACATTTTCTGATATATATTGATGCCCTTATGCTATGTAGAAAGTTTGAGCCGATTCCAACTTTAATTTTTCGAGTTATGACCATTTTTTAAAAACTCCAAATTTCTGAAAAGTACCCAAGGCTATAGCCCATGGTTTTTCCAAAAAATGGCTCCAAAATCATACCCAATTTTTATTACATTTTCTGATACATATTGATGTCCTTATGCTATGTAGAAAGTTTGAGCCGATTCCAACTTTAATTTTTCGAGTTATGACCATTTTTTAAAAACTCCAAATTTCTGAAAAGTACCCAAGGCTACAGCCCATGGTTTTTCCAAAAAATGGCTCCAAAATCACACCCAATTTTTATTACATTTTCTGATACATATTGATGTCCTTATGCTATGTAGAAAGTTTGAGCCGATTCCAATTTCAATTTTTCGAGTTACGACCATTTTTAAAAAATGCCAAATTTCTGAAAAGTACCCAAGGCTATAGCCCATAGTTTTTTTCCAAAAAATGGCTCCGAAATCACCCCAAATTTTTATTACATTTTCTGATACATATTGATGTCCTTATGCTATGTAGAAAGTTTAAGCCGATTCCAACTTCAATTTTTTGAGTCATGACCACTTTTTAAAAACTCCAAATTTCTGAAAAGTACCCAAAACTATAGCCCATGGTTTTTTTCAAAAAATGGCTCCGAAATCACCCCAAATTTTTATTACATTTTCTGATACATATTGATGTCCTTATGCTATGTAGAAAGTTTGAGCCAACTCCGACTTCAATTTTTTGAGTAATGAGTATTTTTTAGATCCTCCACAGCCTGACCCTGCTGCTCCACCAGGCACTACTAACACTAGTCCCCTGCCTAATCCTTGGGGTGGAGCTACTGGAGGAAGCAATTCTGGAAATCAGAGGTATACAGTACACAAATTTTGCTCATAATTTTAAAGGTTGTGTGTATAATGCTAATCTTATACTGTATAGCTAGAAAAGTTTGTGGGAATTTTATTTTTGCGATTTTGTACTAATAAAAGAGCAAATTTTAATGCATACAGAATTTAATTTTGCAGGCGTTAAGCTGTTAACTGTTGATGCACACATTCCCTATAATGCTTTGTGGAATTAAATTGTGTGTTTTTACGATGACCAGCAAACGCAAGATTAAATTCCAGCAAATATTTCCAGCTATACGGTATTAATGCATGTGTAATGTATTGCTATTGCTAAAAGGCAAGTGGCTTTTAATTATTAAATAGTGTTTTTATAATAAGTAGCTACTGGTACAGTAATTGATGTTGTTTTGTTGTGGTAGGTGCATAAACTTTATTTTGCTTTACATTTGTTATTAGTTCTGGATCAGGCAACAACACTGGTGGTAGTGGGAGTGGTCAAAATGCAGCCACGCCTCTTGGTGGGAGTGGTCAAGCTAATTTATTGGCTCAGATGATGGCTGGAGCTCAAGTTAGCTTAATAAATATTAATTTTATAATAATATTACTATTAATTAATTCTTTTAAATAATATTATGATTAATTAAAAATGCAGAAACACCCTGCAAAATACAACTTTTAAAATAGATATTAATGCCAAATTTTATATTAATAATCAATGACAATTTTAAAAATTATTTATACAAATTCATTTTGTTTCTATAGGCTGGAAGTGGTGGTGCCTCTGGTCCCCCTAGTGGTCTGAGCATGCTCTCAAACCCCGCCTATCGGGAGATGTACATGCAGACCATGCAGAACCCACAGACCCGTCAGATGATGCTACAGATGATGAGGAACCCTGCCTTCATGCAGCAAATGATGCAAAACCTTCCGCCGAGTCTGAGACAATCAGTGGGCAATGATCCTGAAGCACTCTCAAGAATGGTAGGAGAGAGAGGGGGAGAGAGAGAGAGAGAGAGAGAGAGAGAGAGAGAGAGAGAGAGAGAGAGAGAGAGAGAAGAGAAAAGGGGAAGGGAGATTGAGAGAAACAGAGGGCCAGAAAGAACTTGTATACAGTAGCTTAACAAGATTTGTATAAAGTTGTGTAGATGTAGTACATACACAATTAGTAAGCTATGGTTATACCGCTACTGGATGAATGGTATAAATTACTTTTGATGCTCTTAATTATGATTATTATAACTATCGAGGGTATACCAAATCATTTGTAAGTGTATCCTCTTTCCCTTCTTTGCTCTATGCTCTATATGTGTGTGTGTGTGACTGTGACTGTTTATGTGTTGTTGATTTGTTAGTTTAAGATTGCTTCATTGTAATGCCAAATAAATCGCTTAACTTGGCAATGACTTGTAGTTAAAAATTCATTTGTGCTCCATTATTGCTTTTAAGAGTGAAAGAATAATGATAGATAGATGTAGTATTGATAAATAATTTATATTTATTTTTCCTTTTCATTGATTATCTAGGTACAACAGTCCGAACATATGGTAAGCTTCATGTGTACATGTATAGTCTTAAATTTGTTAAAAATTTGTATTACATGTTTATACACATGTACATGTACATGTATGCTCTACATGCTTATATGCACACTACATATATGTATGTACATGTACATGTTTATGTATGTACATGTACATGTACATAATACACCTTCTCATTCTTGATCATAGTCATACATACACACACCCATTATGCATCAGTGGCTCACTGCACATACAGTTTGAGTATAAGAAATTAATAAGCATGTAATACATGTATTTGTGTATTATCTGTGATTCTTCTTTTTGTAGCTGAATAATCCACAGATGCTAGAGATGATGTCTAATCCTCAGGCAATGGAAGGGATGATGAGGATGATGGAAGGATATCAGCAAATGGTCAATGCTTCTGGTTCTGGAGCACCCAATCTCCTTGGAGGGTAAGCAGCATAATAAATAATAATAAATTAATTAATAATAATAATACAAATAATGCATAATAATAATAATAATAATAATAATAATAATAATAAAGTATTAATGGTAACAATAATTGTGTTTATTAGTCTATATTTTTAAATTTATTTTTTATTTTTATTTTATTATTTTTATTTTACAATAGCCTTCTAAATATTATTATTATTATTTATATTACAATAGTCTTGGATCAACAGCTAGCAATCCTTCAAGCACCACTTCAGGCTCTACCACTCCTGCTCCTCCCCCTGGGGCTGGAATGGCACAATTACTACAGATGCTCTCAAGCCAATCAGCCACTGGAGCTAACCAGAGTCCTTCAACTAGTGCTGATACTACAGGAGGAGGGGGAGGAGGAGGAGGAGGGGGAGAAGAGCTGTCACCTGAAGAGAGACTTGCTCGTCGTTACCGAGTTCAGTTAAATATACTAGAAGGAATGGGCTTCCTGGAGAGAACAGCTAATTTACAAGGTATGGCCATGTCCATGTAGGCATGTACATGTACATGAAGGAGTGTGAAAGAGAAACAAAGTGTGAATTTAATAAAGGCTGTTTTGTTATTTTTAATAGTGTTGCTGTACTGGCATTACTTCAATGTGTGTGTATAGTAACTAGTGGGGATTATGTTGAGTAACTGAAAATACCAATAAAATTAATAAAGTTTGTTTGTTTAGTAAAAGGACAACATTATGATAGTTGCTTGATTGTTTTGCATGTTTCTGTTCTATATTTAAGAATTTCAAAATCCTTTCACGTCATTCAAACATGTACTGAAATATATGCTATTTATCATGCATCACTACATTACACAAGATGCTACAGCACTTTAATACTGTAGTCCACTGACCTCTTTGTTTTTTCTGTTATTTCTGGAATCTCATTCTGTTATGAGTCATTAGTTGAAAAGAATTGCATGTATTTTGTGCTTGATGATCCACAGGGTAGCTCAATGATCTATAATAATAATTATTATTATTAATAAACTCATTTCCCTTCTTTTGAAGTGTCCTTATAATCCATGAATGGTGGTATATGTATTCTTATAATGTAAACAGAATCCGACATGTGTTGTAATTGTATTTTTGTTTATTTTTGTAGCTCTGATGGAGGCTAATGGGGATATCAACACGGCCATTGATAAGCTATTGAATGGTTAGAGGTCAATTGAACTTGTTCAGCTGTGCAGTGCCTTTAATATTAATTTATTATTATTGTGTAAAAAAGTTGTTTGTTGCTAAACGTCAATAAATATTTCTCTTGTTGTTGTTATAATCTTATTATTATTAATTAATAATTGATAAAAATTTGACAGCGAGAAGGCAATTAAAATACACATAATCATTCATAATAATAATAATAATAATAGTTATATTTTAAAGGAGTTTATAGATATTACGAATCAGTCTGAGGTCTACTGCAGCAGAGGAGTCCACCACTTCTATTGCTAGTATCTTTGTTGTTGGTAGTCTGAACTGAACTCCCTTCCTTCTCATTGTAATCCCTTAGCTCCTTCTTCTGTATGCATCTAACTATCTCGTGGTATATCTCGTCGACATTTAGTCTTAGAGCAGCTGACGTTTCAAAGAAAGGACAATTGAACTCTTTAGCCAAGCCTTGCCCTTCCTCAGTTGTCACCTAAAATTGAATTAATAATAGGAACAATAAATAAAATTAATAATAGGAGTAACAAATGGAATTAATACTAGGACTATAATAAATAAAATTAATAGTACAAATAATACATAATAGGAATAATAAACAATTATTAATAATTAAATTGAGAGACGTTTGGTGGTTTTGTTTGTTTACTTAGATGACATGGTCAATTTGGTCATTAAGGCTATGTATGTTCGCATGTACACAGCAACAAAAACCAGGTGCAATCCTAACGTTTTGCGCCTGTTTCATGCTTCTGTTTACACGGAAACGAATATGAAACCCTGAGCTAGCTAATAAGGAACAAGCAAAGACTGGGTTCAAAGTGTGTATAGTTTTAAAAATGACACCATTCTGTGTTGCTGTGTAAACGCAGCCTCAAGAATAAATGTATTTAGTGGCTGAACTGCTAAAAACAACTGTCACTGGTGCCCCACCCAAGGCACACAATAAAACACAAGGAGCAATGTGTATATAAGAAAATTCATTCATGGCCTGTCATTTTGTGCATGTCGTCATTGTCAAAACACGCACCTCTCTCCGAGCTGACAGGTCACACTTATTGCCGACTACAATTATCGGGACGTCGTTGCAGTGTCTAACTCTGTTCACCGTCTCTCGGAATCTTCTTAATTCTTTGAAGCTTCTCTTCTCAGTGACCGAGTACACCATTAGAAACCCTTCACCTCCTCTCATGTACTGCTCTCTCATTGCAGTGAACTCATCCTAGAGAGAGAGAGGGGGGAGAAGAGAAATATGGATAAAGAGATAAAGAGAGGGGAGAGTTGTACATTTATATTATCATAGCACTGATAGTGTAGTCTTATTTTGATTATTATTGTTGTTGTTATAAAGAACGGTAAAGTATCAATACATGTACAGTATAATAATAATGCTTCTTACTATTATAATTTATCTCATTTTATACTATTATAAATAATAATAATTAATTCACCTGTCCTGCAGTATCAAGTACATCAAGAAGGAATGGAGTACCATCAATGACAGCTCTCTTTTGATAGGCATCCTCTATCAATGAACATTGCAATAATAACAATGATAATAATACTATACATGAATCAGTGCCTAGTTGTTCCCTTACCAATTGTGGGATCATGATCTTCTTGGAATGTATGCATCACAAACTGAAGCGTCAGAGCTACATGGTGAAAAACAGTCTATTTTCAATATAAATAATAATAATAATAATATAAATAACTGTATGCTATACAATTCCAGTAGCTAGTTTCAATGTAGGTACACAAAGTTTGTTCAAGAGTCTATACTCTGTGCTGTTAGCTCATCATAAAACATACAATCTCTGGCTGTGATAATGATCAACTTTTTGGACTAATTAAATTCTTTTGTGAGAGCTCTCTTAGTCTTTAGCTCTCTCTGTATTAGCAGACAATTCTAGCATGTATTTAACAAGGCTAGTCTTTTTCCTAAAACAGACACAGACACTGTATCGTCTTGTAGACTGGCTAGACGATACTTTGGACTCGCATTGTAGACTAAACCAGCTCTGTCTTCATGGTACGAGCTACTGACCTGATTTCCCCACGCCTCCTTGGCCGAGCATTACAATCTTGTAGACTCGGTTGCCATTCTGAAACCTAGCGTCAGGAGGATGATAGACAGGCAATCCTGTTCCTCGCTTCTTGGCAGCAGACATCTCTGAAATAAAAATCAATGCTGAAAATTTTTACGAAACCGGATGTGATTGATCCATTATCCTGACGTCACGTCCGGTTTCGTTTTCTTCCTGTTACGTCATCTATGGTACAACTATACTAAAAAGTAAAATAAAAAATACTAAAAATCAAAATAGCAGCAGAGTGAGGCTGAGTGAACACAGTCAACAAACTCTATAACACCTGCAATAGCTCAATAAGGGCAGCACATATCTTAATATTATAATGGCTAGAAAGATAATTGATATGATCATACAGAAAATGAATTAATACAGAGTTTGGAGCACTAAATAAAATCAGTTTTAGGACATAATATTTAGTTTGGTGTAAAATGTTATTATGCATCAAAATCATTATAAAATGATTCTGATCCTATTTTATTCCTAATCCTCTCGGGCACAGGCTCGTAATGCGAGAACTGAGACACAAACGATCCAGTCCCTGAGGTGATGCTCCTTAACTTAGTAGAATATCCCTAAACAACAACATAATAATAATAATGATAATAATAATAATAGTCACAGTTGTTGTGCTTGCTTACTTTCAATGAAGAGAGTGGTACGGATACTGACAGCTGCTTGCTATCATTATCATCATCTCTTACGTCGGACACAATTCCTCTTCGATGGCCCGTTAATTCACTCAGTACAGGTGAGAGGTAACTATTAGGGACTTTTATCTAAAAAAAGAAGAATTATTTTTTTGATAATGCTCACACAATTATTCTGGACTTGTTGCTGTTGTGTATGAAGAAAAGAAATATGTTTGTGTAGTAAAGGGAATTTTGGAGCTTGCCTAGTTTAGGGAAGAGCAACAATAACATTAGCATTGGAACAAATATGTGGAGCTTGTCTCATAAACAATGTATAACTATTATTAAAATTACTATACGGTACAAGATGATTTATTAGCTAGAGTCAAATTCCTCCATCATAAGCAAATGGCGAATTTTATGCGAGTGATTTTGCAGCCATGTGTCATTGAGTATGTTTTAGATTAGAACAAAATAAAAAAATTTTACATCAGAGGGAACAGCCAATATATTATAATTCCTTCTAATTATTACCTCTAGTTTCATAAATGGCTCTAGAAGTTGCATCCCAGCTACCTTCATTGCCTACAGCTCAGTACATCATGACACATGCACTAGTAATAATATACCTTTGATACACATTGACTTATGACACTCGAAATTGCCGGTAGAGTTGCATTGGGAGATATGCTAATGGAATCAATTGATACCTGTACTTGTATCACTGGGTATGAGAATATGGGCCCTATAAGAAATGCAATGAGACATTAGTAGGTTACGAGTAGCTGGAATTGTGAAAACTATGCATATACATGTGTATATTATTGTTTCTGATAAGCGATCGACTGCACAAAACTGTTTTAGAAAGAGAAGCTTTCAAAATGTCATCACTTGTTATGATTACAGTACGTGGTAGTTTCAAAACAACCCTCTACAAGTAAGTGCCAAACAATTGTATTGAGTGACAATAATAAGTATATTACAGGGGCTGATTTCATATTGATTGCATCAAAAAATGTAATAAAAAATCTAGCCATTTTTGATAAAATTTGGCCAAAGTCCCCTGTTTTAATAGTACATGGTCTTTGGCCCCATTTTTGAGCAACTTTAAAAATTTATTTCTAAAAACTCTTAATTGTGGAATCTACTCAAACTTTCTACACAACATAAGAACATGCATATGTATCAGGAAAAATATAAATAGGGAGAAATTTCTTCTTTTCATTTTTGGCAAAATTAGGGATTGACCCAATTTTCAAGCAACTTTAAAAATTCGTAAAAAAATCCAATTTTAACCAGAATCAGCTCAGAGTTTCTATGCAACATGAAAACATGCATACATGGTTATTGCAATAAAATGTCAAAATTCTTTCCCAGATATGTACTACTACAATCAAAAAAATTACACCTAAATTGCCAAATTTATCAAATTTAACCACTTTAAAATTTCCCACTATAATGGCAAGAAATATAAGTGCATTTAATAATATAGTTCATAGTTAAATACCATGTGTACAGGCCAGCTTCACTCCATTTGTAATGGCCCCTCTAATCTCATCAGATAAAGGAGACGTGTGTATATCAACGACTGGCTCACTCCCAGACACTGATGATGGGGACAAAGTTAGTTCAACATTTATTTCTTGGACCTGATTTTTATGTACACGTTTTACATGATCTGTAATAATAATAATAATAATAATAATAATAATAATAATAATAATAATAATAATAATAATAATATTTTATTTTTGCTTCATGCAACTCTCTGTCTCCTTTTCTCTCATTTTTAATTGACATTGAGTTTAATGACAATAATAATAATAATAACAATATAATAATAATAATAATAAAACATGTATAACAAAGCCATGAAATAATTATATTAAAATATACTAGTCTAATAATACCCTAATATTCTAATAATATACTAATAATATACTAATAATATACTAATAGTATACCTGATTCTTTAACAGTGAGAGTAGGTGACTCCCTATAAGCTATCTGTAGTTCACCGAGTCTAGCTGATATCTTATATTCATTTATTATTCGATCAAGAGTCACCTCCAAATGAAGTTCACCCATTCCAGAGAGAACAGTCTATAAAACAACAAAATAATCAGATTCAATATACCGCATAGGAAGTATATTTCCTGGGAAAATATTTCACAAAAATCATGCACCTATCAACCTATTCAGAAGAAAAAATCTTTGTGATTTTCTTCTACTGACCATTATTAGTATGATAAAAAATAATTTTCATAGATAAAAATTTTTACAAATTTTAAAACTGCATAATTAGCAAAATTGAAGCCCCTTGAAATATACCCCCTATACAATATTAAAACTGACCCACCTGTCCGCTTTCACTATCATAAGATACCCTGAGACTTGGGTCTTCACGGGTAATGCAAGACAGAGCATGATCAAGATCTAGTTTATAAAATAAAAAAATATAAATAAAAATTAAAAAGTCGTTTTTCTTTCCACACAAAAAGTTCCTTATTAACAAAAAATTCTATTCATAATCACACCATACCTTCTTGCTGTCCGGATGAGTCTGGCTCTATAGTACAGAAGAACATTGGCTGCGGTATTACTGGAGCTTTCAACTTATTGACTGACGACAACACGTCATCTTTGAGTTCTTTTGATAAGACTAACGTATCTCCAGTCATAGTCTAATAATAAGTGATGCTTTACAGTAGTATCATCGTATAGTGGGAAATTTTGGAGGGAGTAAAATTTGGCCAATTGCTAAAATTTGGTGATTGGCAAGTTTTAATTAGGTAAATTAGTGGCCATGTGCTGTTGAGCATGCGTATAATGGCTCAAAATGGCGGATTTTATTCTGGCAAATGGCCATCAAAACACTAATTTGTCAAATTTAATTCCCTCCAAAATTTCCAGCTATACGGTACTTTTCAACACATGTAATGCTGCACGTAACTAACAAGATCACATCCATGGAATAAGTCTAGCAGACAATCAACATACATGTACATGTACAATGTATTATATATATTTATCATTTTTTGGACAAAAATAATCTCTCTATTTTTCAATTCATCAATGACATTACACAAAATTTTCTCTGGCATTTCAATCAAAAATCTGAATTAATATCCACATAATAATTACTTCTGAGCCTCACATGTTTCAATCCAGCAACGACTGCAATGTTCCCTTCACTCATGACCTTCATTTCTTTATACTCATCAGCCAGTGCCAGTAAAACCTTAGACACTCTCTCACTGCATAAATACATAAATACATTCACTAAAAATAAATTTCGCTAATTTTTCGTTTTCATTAAATTCGCAAATTTAAATTCCACAAAAAGGTGTGGCACACTAGGAAAAATGGTAATGGAAGGTAAAATTCACAAAAATTTATACCAAAAATGGCAAATCCGAACAAATTTGCAAAATTTTATACCAACAAAATAAAACCCTTATAGGGTATATAATTTTGTCAATATTGTACATTAATATTTACACTATAAATATTATATAGTAAATACATCATTACATAAGTGATTTATTTACGTCTTATCCTGTGTGGCATTGTACAGCAAAGTGCTTGGTGTAACAGATCCAGAGTAAATCCTTAAAAACACGAGTGGCCCACGACTTTTATCATGAATCACCTATTAGTACTACTAGCTTATTGCAATAGGTTTATAAATAGTCTTACTTTAAATGCAAATGCATAAAAAGACTTGAGAGAATCAGGTCTATAAATAAGACAAAGAGAATACAAATGCTTATACATGTAAGGGTGGGCAGATACTGCCAGTTACTGCTATTGATAGCTACAGTACATAACTAGATATACCGTATAGCGGGAAATTTTAGAGGAAGTTAAATTTGGAGAATGGCTAACTTTTGGAGAATGGCTAACTTTTGTTGATTGGCGAATTTTAAATTGGCAAACTTGTGGCCATGTGCCATTGAGCATGCGTATAATGGCTCAAAATGGCGGATTTTATTTTGACAAATGGCTATCAAAATGCCAAATTTGCCAAAATTAATTTCCTCTAAAATTTCCTGCCATACGGTACATACTGCATGCATACAATAGTATAATATAGTAGTATTAATATGCTAAATGATGCAGTAAAAGACTTAAAATCAGTATAACTTATAAAAAAAACTCACAAATCAATTACTCTGTCAGAAGGAGATGGTAAGTAATTAGCAATGGCATCAATAAGTAAAGTGACCCCAACATTCCTCAGTGAGCTACCCATCAGTACAGGGACTGCTATGCCCTCACATGTGACTCTTCTTAGACTATCAGTAATAGCTGATTCATTTAATAGTAACGGTTGGTATCCATCAGTCATCACCACTTCCAGTACTGAGTCATCATGCATAGCTAACTAATAATAACAACAATAACAACAACAACAACAACAATAATTTTAATAATAATACTAATAATATACCAACTTGATCTATCATTTTCTGTCTTGCAGTGAACACTTCATTCAATACTGAGTCCATTGCAATGTCTTTATTCTCCTCTAGGAATTGAGAGAGTTCTGAAATCCCTTCATACTTTAGTGGAAACGCTACAGTCTTGCTATCATCATATTTCCCTTCCCAAATGTACACGGTCAATGACACTAGATCCACCACACCAGAGAATTCTTTCCCTTTACCAAGAGGATACTACCAATAATAGCACCACAACAATCAACCAAGTGTACATATTAATAATACTTGCTTGTATGAGTATTGGGGTCTGATGAAACTTATTCTCCATTGATTCAACTGCTTTATAGCAACTGTGAAAAAATAATAAATTTGTGCATGAAGCCTAACATACACTGGGCAGCTTTGTTGCTACTACTTTTAACAATTTGCAGCCAAAAGTAAAGACTCTCTTTACTATGCTACCCAATCACATCAAAAGTTCATATAACTACAAGTTGGCAGCAGCAAAGTTGCCTAGTGTTACATTGTGCTTAAATAAGAAGAGAAGGCCCATCATTACCATGCATGCTGCTTGTCCATTTTATTGATAAAAGCGATCCTTGGTATACCATAACTGTTAGCCTGCTCCCACACACAAGTAGTCTGAACCTAGTTTTATTAATAAAATAATTATAATCACGGCTGGGTGGGTGGGTTTGTATAATGAGGAGTACTTGTACACCAGCAGCTCCGTCAAGAAGTGCAACTGCACCATCTAGTACCCTGAGGACTCTCTCAACTTCAAATGTAAAGTCAATATGACCTAGCTTTGATAGTAAGTGCATTTTTCAGTTCAGAAATTTATTACTCATCTGAACGTTAGCATTGCACTTACCAGGTGTGTCGATAAGATTCAATTTGTAGCCTTTCCAGTCAAATGTGATGGCAGCTGAGTTTATAGTTATCCCTCTCTCCCTTTCCTATACATGGTAACTATTATTACAAAGAGGACAAATATGGCCACAGTGAGCTAAGAACAGGGTTTCCCACAGGATTTTGGTATAGTGCTCATGGATGCAGCTTCTAGTCAGTGGATTGTCAAGTTGCTCAAAAAATAGGCCAAAGACCCTACTAGTACAGGGTATTTCGACAAAAATCACAAGTAGAGAATTCTCAATTTTTATAATTTTTTCTGCTGCACATACTGTATGTGTTCTTTTGCTGTGTGGAAAATTTGAGCTGATTCCAATCTAATTTGAATTTTTAAAGTTGCTCAAAAATCAGGCCAATGTATAATATTGGGCTTTTGTCAAATTTCATCAAAAATGGGTAGGAGAGAATTCTCAATTTTTATAATTTTTTTCTGATGCATATGCATGTCCTAATGTTGTGTAGAAAATTTAAGTTGATTCCGATCAAAATTGGCTTTTTTTTTACAAATTTATAAGTTGCCATGTACTGTATTATTAATCCTTGTCAGCTCATGAAGCTCATGCTGTTTAGCCCCTTAGCATGCTTTGTGGGAAACCCTGGCTAAGTACATGTATCAACATGTGCTATAGAAATAAAACTAACAGACTTTGATGAAAAAATACAACTAAAGCTTAAGTTCAAATTATGAATGATAACAATAACTAAAACTAAATTGCAAAAAAGAAACTGAAACTAGAATTCAATAGAGTTAAAAGTCAACAGCATTGGACTATAGTGAGTTACTGAATTTACATTTATTATACCTGCTTCATGTAATCCATAACTGTATCACCATCATCAACTTCTAAAATATAAATGAATAAATTCATAAATTGGGCTGATATGACTGTCATTAAAATGCTGTATAGCACTTTAATTTTGCATAGTTTATTTCGCTAATTGCCTGATTAAAAATGAAATTTCAATATGAAAAAGTGAATCATTAATGTGCATTCTTCCTAAATGCATACATGCACAAAATGACCAATTTAAAAACGATCAAATGCATTTTGATAGCAAAATCAAGTACCATACAGTACAACTGATACGTTATAGAAGCAGTACCTCCTAAGTATCTAGTGAATCCGGAACAAAACAGAATTCTTTCTGTTGTTGTGGTTTTTCCAGCATCAATGTGAGCCATTATACCAACGTTCCTTATTGATTCTAATGATTCTCTAATCAAAGTACATAAAAAAGAAGAGGCTGTGTCATATAACAATAAAGGCAGCAAGTAGCTGAAAATGAGACACAATCAAGTCATAGACATTAGCATATTAGAGACTAATAATATCCATGATCAAATCAAATGGGTGTGGCTAATTCAATTTTAATACCTCAAATTGCTGCTGGCCTCTCTCGTCTTTCTGCTAGAATAAAATACCACTCCTTTAGGACTGTGCATCTTTTTGATCAAGTGGACCAGCTGAATGGACCTCAAAGGGGAGAACGAAATGAATAAATGGGAAAGAGATGAAGACATTATCGCCCACGTTGACACCATGCAGCCAACTCAGCTCCTCCCTTTTTGCTAAAATAATTGGATGCTATGCTAGTCTAGCAGTGTTCGTCATTCTGACATACTGGATCACATTCATTGAGCCATAATAGATATTTTTCTTATTCCCTGGACTAGCTATTGACAAGAGCAGTAGTGTAGC